TCTGCTGAAAGACAGAATAGGTAGAATTCTTGAAGACAATGGTGTAGGCAAAGACTTTATGAATAAGCCCAATCACACAGGAACTATCACAAAGAATCAATAACTGGGATCTTATCTTATTAAAAACCTTTTGCAGGGCTGGGGACATAGCTAAGTCGTCTAAGTATCTGCCTGGCAAGCTCAAACATCTGGGTTCAACTCCCAGTACCACAAGCCATGCCTGCCCTGAAACCTTGGGTGCACTGTGCTGGCCACCGAAACCGTGCATAGTGGCACACACCTGTAATTCCAGCACTGGGGAGGCTAAAACAGGAGGATCACTATAAGTTTGAGCTGTGTAGCAAAACCCTTTACCAAATAAATTAGTAAGTAAGTAAATAAATGATTTTTTAATAAAAGCTTTTGCACAAAGAAATCACCAACAGAGTGAAGAGACAACCCACAGTGAGAAAAAATGTTTGCCAGCTCTATCTCAATCAAAATTACTATTCAATATACAAAGAATTCAAAAAAATCAGACTTCCCATATTTATTTATTTATTTATTTATTTACTTACTTACTTACTTACTTACTTACTTACTTATTTTTCGTGGAACCCGGACTGAACTCAGGCCCTTGTGCTTGCCAGGGAAGCACTTATTCCACTGAGCCATCTCACCGGCCCCAGACCTCCCATATTTAAAGACCTAATCCAAAAATGGCCATCTGAGATAAACACTTCTCAGATAAAGAAGTACAAACAGAAAATAAGTATATATTAAAAAATGTTCAATATCACTAGTCATGCAAGGGATGGAAATTTAAACAACAGAGATTTCATCTCATCCCAAAAAGAATGACTATTGGCAAGAAATCAACCAATAAACAATGGTGGAGGATCTGTGGAGAAAAAAAGAACACTTTTCCACTGTTAGTGGGAATGTAGACTCATGCAACCACTGTGGATATCAGTGTGAAGATTACTCAAAAAACTAGGACTGGGGCCGAGGAGATGACTCAGTAGAATAAGTACTTCCCTGGCAAGTGCAAGGGCCTGAGTTCAATCCCCAGTTCCACAAAAAAAAAAAAAAAAAAAAAAAAAAACACTAATTTTGGGGCTGGGGAGATGGCTCAGTAGAATAAGCGCTTCCCTAAGTTCAATCCCTGGTTCCGCCTGACCCCCCAAAAGACTACAGGTTCCATTTGACCCAGCTATTCCTCTTCTGAGTATCTTCCCCAAAGAAATAAAAGTATCATACAACAATGATACATGTATACCCATGTTTATAGTAGTAGCACAGTTTGCCCAAATGCCCATCAACTGAGGAATGTACAAAGATGTGGTTTTTTATACAATGAAGTACTATTCTTTTTTTTTTTTTTTGGTAGAACTGGGGATTGAACTCAGGCCCTTGCACTTGCCAGGAAAGCGCTTACTCTACTGAGCCATCTCCCCAAGGATTTTTTTTTTTTTTTTTTTTTTGCAGTCTCAAGATGCCTTGAAGCTTGAGATGTTTGTAGGTAAACAGATGTACCTTGAGACCACATTTGTAAGTAAAGTTAACTGGACAAACGTAAATATCACAGTGTTTTTCAGGTGTGAGAAACTAAATGAGTAATTAAGGAGCAAAATATGTAACAGGTACTGTTGAGGAAGAAAATGTTCAAATGGGGATGGAGTAAGGTAGAAGAAGAGAAGGGAAAAGTAAAAAATGAGAAAAAAAATGGAAAAGGTTTTGTAAATGGGTACGGCAAGATGAGGTTGAAGGAAGGACAGGACAATGGAGAGAAAAGAAGAAACAAGATATATATCATGCATAGGTACAAATTATCTACAATGATCATTATGTGGATCTAAAATGCAAAAGCAAACTTAAGTCCAGGGGGAAAAAAGCCAGCAAAATCTAAGAGGCTGTACTACAGATGATGCCATTATATAAAAAGAAACTTAAAAATTAATGCAGATTATTACACATGAGCATTTGTACCCAAAATAAGGAAAGAACTCATTAAAACAACAAAAAGACAAAATATATGACTAAATAAGAAAGCTGATTTCACAAATGGAAAGGGATACCCTGTTCGTTAATTAGATAGTATGGCATCATAAAAATGCCACTAATGCTGCTAAAGTTAATAATAAATTAATTAGATTTCAGCAATAGGAGGAGTATATGTGGTAAGGTTATAGAAACAAAAATAATAATTGCTAATAAAATCTTGAAAATGAAGCATAATTGAGAATTGTATTATTCTTTCACATACCACAAGACACAATAAATGGCCCCATATTAACAGAATCCAGACACAGTGGTGCATGTGTCCAGTCCCAGATACTTGTAGGCTGAAGCAAATGGATCACTACTTTCAGGCCATTCTGAGGAACCAACCAAGTCCCAGTATGAAAAAAAATTTGTATAAAGGGCTGGGGATGTGGTTCAGTGCTTCCTGGGTCCAATTCCCAGTACTGAAAGTCACAGAGAGTGTAGCAGGTGTACTTCATGGTAAAGTGCTTGCCCGGCATCTGTAAGGCACCAGCACCACAAAAACAGTAACAAACTACATACAGTGTAGTGTGAAAGAGCACATAAATAAGCAACAGTGACAAAGCACTAGAAAAGCAGAAGTCATATAGTACTTAATATATGATTTAATGTACAATCAAAGTAGTATCTCAAATTCCTGGGCAATGGATGGTTAAGTAAATCCTAATTTAGGAATTTCAAACAAGGACAGTCATTCAGAAACAGTTAAAATCTGATCCATAACTCAAGTATATACCAGAATAAGTTATATATGGAATAATATTTGAATATTAAAATGAAGACTTATAAATATAAGAAAATATGAAAGTATTCCTTTAAAACCTAGAAGAGGGGAAAGCATACAACGCAGTATCTAGAAGCAACAAAACTGTTAAGTTTGACTATTAAAATTTAAAACCTTATATGCCCAGAAATAGAAAACACAATAGCAAAACTGTTCCCAGAACAATCAGTTACATATAATGACAAGATTCAGTCTCATTACATATTAATACTATTTACACAAAGTTCATAAATAATTCAAACTATGATATCTAAAGCCCAAGAATTCTTAGCTTGATAAGACAAAGGGGATAACGGGAAAAAAAATAAACGAGCTAATGAAAAAGTTAATGTTTCAGCTTCTTTCTTTCTTTCTTTCTTTCTTTCTTTCTTTCTTTCTTTCTCTCTTTCTTGTTATCTTAGGGAAGGGTCTACAGGGTGTTCAGGACTCGTAGTGATCAGCCTATTTACAGCCTCCCAAGCGCTGGGATCACAGGTGCGTGCCACCATGCCCAGTCTCAATCACAGTCTCAGTGCACCCTAAGGGTGGGGCTGGCTCAGCAGGCCTGGGGAATCAAACGCCAGGCCCCTGCACCTCCTTGCAGGTGCTTTAATCCACTGAGCTATTTGGCTAGCCCTTTGTTTTGGTTTCTTGAATTGGGTTTTTAAAATAAAAGATGAAAAGCACAGATTGGATCCTTATAACACTTTATGATACAAAACTGGTATTTTTCCAACTTTACAGATGAAAATAGGAGGCAAGGCATTGGAAAGCTATGTAATTTTCAAAGGACACAGATAATAACTGATAAAGCCATAACTTTACATCAATTAACAACAAAGTTAGCACTCCTAATAAAACTTGTAGGGGCCGTGGACAGAGCTCAGCAATCTAAGCGCCTGCCTAGGCAATTGCAAAATTCTAGGTTCAATCCCTCGTACAAGATGCCATGCCAGTCCCACCCCGGCACACTGTGCTGGTCACGAGAGACTGGGTGTAGTGGTGCACACCTGTAATCCCAGCATGGGGGAGGCTGAAACAGGAGGCTCACTATCAACCTGAGCTGTGTAGTGAGATCCTGTACCAAATACATAAAATTTAAGGAAAAAACAAACGAAAAAAAACCCCAAAAAAACAAGTATCAGAAGAGCCAATATGCAGTATCAAATGGTACCACTTGCCTTGGGAATTAGTTTGGCCCATTCCATTTATATAACCTTTCTTATCTACAGGCCTTTGAAGTATGTCCCCCTTAACATAAATGCTATAAAAGCAGAAAGTGTCTATTTTTCATTTTACAGTATTATTCCCAGCAATTTATTCTGGGAAGTTGAGGAAGTCTGCAAGTCTGAGGCCAGGATGGGCAAGTTTGTGACTCAGCAAGAGTGAATCTCAAGATAAATAAAAGAGATGGGGAATATAGCTCAATGCAAAGCCCTGGGTTCAATCTCCAGCTTTTTTTTTTTTTTTAAAGCCTTAGTGCAAAGCCCTATATTCAATCGCCAGTATTTAAAAGAAAGAAAGAAAGAAAGAAAGAAAGAAAGAAAGAAA